CGTTGCTCTGATCCCAAAGTAAGTAACTAACGCACTTGTGTTATGGAAATCAGACTCGAGACAATATAGAAAAATTACTTTTCTTTATTGACCCGGCCGGGGATCGAACCCGGGACTTCAGAGATGGCGACACCATGAAAACCGACCACGGAGGTCGTCCAGTGGCTTGCAAAACTGAGTTTTTTAGTATTAAAAATAATTAGTCAATTTTATTCATTTTGCATGAAAAATATTTTATGAAATTTGACCAACTTCGGATGTCCCGATTTTTTCGTCCCATACAATGAAATGATCCCTTCATGAAAGTGAGTCGAAGAGCGCTAAAAAAAATTTTGATCACTTTCATACGCTTTCACGCCCAACTCACGCTTGATAAAAAAAGACTGCCAAAATTGTTTTCACAAAAAAAAGACTTAATGGTTCCTAAGATTTTATTGCCTCCGTGGCCGAACGGTTACCATGCCGGACTGCCACGCAGAGGTCCCAGGTTCGATTCCCGGGCCGGGAGAAATGTTTGTATGGCCTACATTTATTTCTCTCGTGAGTTTGGGTGTAATTTGTGGTTGTCTATGTGTGTGTCCATGGCACCCGCGACACAGGGTTTCCCTAGTGCGGGGCTATGTTGAGTGTGTGCGTTATTATTTATTTATTTATAAGACAGTTTTCTTGTATCTTCTATGGTTTAGAATTTCCCCATACTGTTTCGTTAAAAAAAACACAGTTATCTTTCCGTTCTTCTCCTATGTTACTTGGATGATAATTATTTTTATCCAGATGCTTTTGAATTACCGCCTTACAATCAAGAGTCGTGGATTCGAATCCGGACTTGCACATCTGAGTTTTACGGAATTTATGTACGAAATTTAATTTGAAATTTACCATGGGGTTTACGGTGCAGAAAATCATCGATGCAATGTATTTTCTTGATAGTGTTTGAAGTTTCCAATCCGTGTTGGGAATATTTACACTTATGTATATATTCAAATCCGCACATGCACTTACATATTGAATAGGTTACTTTAGATGCACTATTCACACTATATTATATTAATATTATTTTAATGAACAATTTCCATCCTAATCGCTTATTAGATCTTTCATTACAAATAACTTCCAGATTTAGTACCTCTCGTTGGTTCTGACTGAAAACCAGCGCCTTAGGGAACTTAGGCATATGCTGAGTCAGCGCCATTTCTCTGCTATAACAAAAAATGTTTTATTGTTCCTTTTGTATTCATTCTGTATTTGTGTCACACTAGTGAATAAAGTGTTCATCTATCTATTTATCTATATCTTTTGGGACCGCGTGGCAACTGTAACCCAAGCATTTATTGTAAGAGGAAGTCTGTGCTCAGCAGCGGGTCTATATAGGTTAACTATTTATTTTTTTATCCAGAAATCCAGTAGCAGTTCAGTGAACAGTTTAACGGAACTACCAGATACTGGCACATCAATACACAGAACGCCAGAAAAAGTGACAGGACCAGATATCAACACATCTCGTATCTCTTGTTCGCCTTTTACTAGTCCTTTACACGACATTACACAGGAATTTAATAGATCTATTTACTTGGGAAAACAAACAGAACATTCTAGAAAAGATGCTTCAAAGACTTATTCTAGCGAGAATCATAACTCTGTTGACTTGGAAAATACCAAAAATAAATTGAGGAATAAAGATAATGAATTGTCTATAGATTTGGAAAACCGTTTGGAACATTCTCGAAAAGATTCCATAAAAACGAATTCTGCATCCAAAGAGAACGAGCTAAAGAACAAAGTTTTCAACAACTTGAAAATTCGAAGCGATTTGTTTAGAAAACCTAACGACGATGACGACGAGGTGACCTTTATTGACAGTACTCATGCGGAGGAAGGTTCTAGAAAGAATTTGAAGGTTATAGATGATGACGTCACTATCGTTGAGACGAATCCGGAGATCATTGCCCTGAGCAGCGACGACGAGGAAGAGGTAAGATGTTCACTCTTTGTGCATGTGTAAATTTCTTATTTTAGAATAGAATAGACATTTATTGCAATGCTACAACACATAGATGCAAAAAAAATATTGATAACACTAAGAGTCGTATTCCAGAACTCTACTTAATGCTCAAGTCAGGACTTGAGTATGATTTCTAGTGCTTTAAATCATACTCAAGTCCTGATTTGAGCATGGACAGGCATGTCGCTTACCACCATGCGCACGTTCGTGCCGTCACTTAATATTGTAAATAAAAGTGTTATTAAACTCTTAAAAATACATGTGTATAGGTGTAAATTCTATCACTCTTCTACATTCGATGAATGGGTAAGGCAGAGACTACGGATTTTCGCTTATTAGGTTCTTAATATACTCTATTGCTTTCGCTTCTTTCATAAATATTTGTTTTTAAAATAATAAAGTAAAATTTGCGTTAATAGGAATACGTTAAAAAAAGCAATTTGGAGGGTAGATGAAAAACGTTTCTACGTTATTTGACACTTGTCGAACCGTTCTGCTTTTCTCCGCTCCCCGCAACCTCGCTCCTCATCCGTCTAACGTCATTTTTTATAGATTACAATTTAAAATAATTACAGCTTCAAACGGTTTTCAAGGAACCAACGATTACGCAAAGACGATGTTTTAATTTTGTTTTATTTATTTGACATTTTAATTTAAGTTTAATTTGATAATATTGTTTTTATTGCATTGTTTTGTGTGTTGTTTTAATGTTAATTAGTGTGTGAATAAAAATGCCGCGTAAAAGCAAAAGTCCGGTCGCTGTAAGTAACATTTGATTGTGGCCTATTTTCGATGTGTTTTCGAAACGAGAACTTAAAAACTTCAATGTATAAAAACAGTAATAGTAATATTTCCTTAAAAGGAAATAATCTGTCTACCGACGTCTACTTGGGAGTGGACCTGTCGTCCAATTTAAACTACGGCAGATATATTGAAAAAGAAACTTCGATCATCGCACAACATAGCATAGCACACTTATTCGTAGTACGTTTAAGTGCTACATGGCTGTATCTTCATTTTTAGTGGCAGTGGAGCTCCTTGTGAAAGAGTTCGTCTAGGGAAGTACTGCTTTACTTTTTAAGCCGCCAAGTAGTAATGTCAGCATTACTGTGTTCCGGTTTTGAAGGGTTAAGGACTTGTCAACTTATGTCTCAGAGTGACGGGCGCAGTGGCAGTGTCCGTCAGATATTTGCGACTTAAAGCTCTGAGTGCCACGGCAACTGTTATGCACAGGAGAGTAGCTTACCATCAGGTGCATGACTTACTTATACTTCCCGTCAATTGGTGTTATAAAAAAGCGGAGGCAGCTTAGTGGGAGACCAGATTGCATTCTCAGTTGAGAAGTTGTAGGTTCGGACCTAGTGCCGGTGTGCACTTCTGACTTAAATTCTTAATTAATTTTGTTTGCGGAAACACGGTTCTATAGAAATGGCAGTTGCCATATAAGTATAGTTTTAGGCTCAATTTATATTGCGGCAGAAGGGAATGAAAGCGAATTTTTGTAACGATATTGTACAGGGTCAAGAGCACGTTAAGCTTGACACTTAAGATTTAAATGCAACTCTATGCCGCTTACGACAAGAACGGTCCAAAGTACTAAGCCTCAAGGTAAGTCAAGCTTGACGTGCTCTTGACTGTACGTAGCATAATGAACTTTGTGGTCAATTGTCTTTCTTAGGTTTTCGTAAATGCTGTACATATTTTAATTTTTTTTTAATATCAAGTGTCCCTGGACCTTAACTCAAAATATGAGCAACCGTTAGACGCATTCGAAATGTGGGTAATCAGAAGAATTTTCAAAATGTGGGCGGATAGAGTATCCAATAAAAGAATATTGCAGATGGTGAATAAAAAATTAGAGGTTTTGAGACCGTCAGAAAGCAGCTACAGATTTTTTTTTATAATTTCAAATGACGGGACGAACAAGTCGTGCGCCTGATGGTAACCTACACGCCTGTCCATAACCTTTAGATCGCAAAGATCTGAGGGGCACTGCCACTACGCCCGTTATCCTGTAACGTAAGCTGTCAAAGTCTCGTGTACCTGTAATTTCACCAGCACTCTTACCCTTCAAGACCGGAACACAGTAATGCTGACATTACTATATAAGATAAAATAAATAGATAAGATGGCAGTACTTCCCTAGAGAAACCCTATGGCGGGTGCCATGGACACACACATAGACAACCACGAATAACACCCAAACTCACGAGAGAAATAAATGTAGGCCATACAAATATTTGTCCCGGTCCGGGATTCGAACTTGGGACCTCTGCGTGGCATGGTAACCGTTCGGCCACGGAGGCAGTTAAACATTATTTTAAGAATGAGAGTATAACATTTAATAGCTCTTCAAATGTGCTCAGTAGCCCTAAATACAAATGTAAGTTAAGTCACCGGAGTTGCGATGTCATGTTTAATAAAAAGTCACGGAGCACAAGTTGTTGTTTATGATGTTTGTTATCACAAATTCTTGCCGATATCTGAGATTGTTTTTAATGATACATTATAAATAATTTTTAAATGTATTTGTTGAGATTTATTGTGAAATAACTCGACTACTTTTATTATGTATTTTGTTATGAATACAAACATCGGAACATACAGAAATATAGAAAATAAACACATTTGATCGAAAAGCGACATCTGCGTCAGTTGTGATATCAGTAAAGGTATCGGCTGCGGCGAGGTTATTCAAAAATCTCTCACTAGATGTCACTAGCGACATTGCATGCCGGAAAGTCAGTGTAAAGATTTTTCGTTAGAGCAGTGCTACAGTGCAGCATGGATGTGGGTTTATGCCCCACAGGGTCGACTAAATTTTTTCTGGGTTTTCGATCTTTGTATCCATAATAATAATTTTTAAAGTTTAATATAATAACTACAACATAGATAATTAAATTTCATTAAAATTTTTATTGAATTGCGGACCTCACGAAATTTTCTATTTGCTTGCGTCGTATGTTTGTATTTGGTTTTTCAACGACTTTTTAGCCGTAGCGCCTTCTATAAGAAAGTTATGATATTTCGTCACCCTGTTAGATACCTTTACAGCTACCAGTCCCGGCTAGAAATGTCGCTATTCATTGTGTTTAAATTTTTATTGAATTCTATTCAATTATATGAAATTACTCCACTAGTTTGTTATAATTATTAATACAAAGATCGAACACTCAGAAAAAATTCAAATTTCGTTTTCTAACTAAATAAAATACTCATTGTTCCTAAAGACATTTTGGCCTAACGAGATTTAATTTCTGTGAATTTGGTTACCTACACGACAGGCCATGCCTAGTGTAGGAATCAGTTCAATGAATCAAGCCCTTCCGCGAATTTTCTTAATCCGGTTCGCAGCAACATTGTCGATCGACCTGTATTTTTTTTGAGAAGACAAATAAATTTTATTATTATTGTTATATAATCCTGTAAGGTTGTTAGTATTTTTAAAATAACCCTATAATAAATCAGTAAGTAAAAGTTAATTTTTGTAAAGAACACGAAACGTAGGTTTGTTTGAAAAAATAAATATTCGCAATTTAGGATCTAATTGATTCCCTTCCAATGTTCAACAATCGCGGACTTGATACTCGAAGGATTCTTAAAATTTCAGAAATTTGCTTTTGCCTAAAGGATCTAGAACTAAACATTAATAAATACACTTCCGGACACATAATTCGACCCACCACGTATTTTCAGTATTAAGTGTCCTAAGATTAAACAATGTTTGATTGCTTAAAAAATGTTTGATTGTTTCAAAAACTATTACACAAATTTGAAACTAGTATACTAAACTTCTATAAGTCCTTGTTGGGAATTTGGATTTGCAAAACCGAGGGAATACTTTTTCTTCGTTGATAACACTGTTTTTATATTCTAGCCCTTTACGACAAAAATACGAGGTGGCTCGAAGTATGTATTCGGGAGTATATATAGTTGTAATAATATATTTTGAATTGTAGGAAAAGAGATCACCGTCGTTGAAGAAATCTCCATCGATAAAGAAATCACCCAAAGTGAAGGAGGATTCTCGTCAGCAGTATAGCGATGGTGAGGAATCTACATCCAGCCGTGGAAAGGGTACCATTAAGCAGTATTTGATGCCGCACAGTTACCCTAACCAACAGGTAATTTTATGTGTTACGTGTGCACTACGAAAACCCTATATCGCGGGTACCATGAACACACATAGACAACCACAAATTACACAAAAACTCACGATAGAAATAAATGTAGGCCCTAAAAATATTTCTCCGGCCCAGGAATCGAACACGGGACTTCTGCATGGCAGACCAGCAAATTTCAAGAAACATTGCGGTGTAGAAAACAATAAAAAATTCGTAACACTTTCTAGCATATGAAATGAAACTATTTTTCCGGATTTTAATTCGCGTGTATTTGTTTTTTTCAAACAATCCAACGTTTCGGGCCCTTTCCAGGTCACTCGGTGAACCGTGACCGTTTTTTCTTTTCCTATGTGTAACAAACGCGAAAACCTGAGAACTTTCTAGCAGTTTAAGTAAAGTAACGTTTTAAATGCATTCCTTAATATAATGTTATTTATTCACAGGTAGTGTACGTGAAGAAAGCACTAAGAGAGAATGAGCTTGCCAAGTTGGAAGGAATTAAAGAAGACTTGCGCAATGTCAAGGTATAGATTCTTTGTTAATATTGTTTGTTGCGAAAAACTAACATTCGGAAATAAAATAAAGGCTAATTGAATTTTAATTGAATTAAGTTACCTACTTACATGTTAAATTTTTAATTATAAAGTGCTAATATTCGAAGTATTTTTAATCGTACTGGGTTTTCTGAGGGGGTTCGATCTTATATATTATATAGGTTTAGGTAAATATACTCCTACATCGTATCATCTTCGACATCCGGGATAGTAAATAATAATAAATAGATATAGATAAGCTTGACAACCTCCGTGGTCGAGTAGCTTGCACACCGGTTTTTATGGTGTCGCCATCTCTGAGGTTCCGGGTTCGATACCTGTCTGGATCAATATAGAAAACTAACTTTTATGCATATAAGTATTGTCTCTGGTCTGGGTGTTTGTGGTATCGTCGTTGTTTCTGATTTCCATAACACAATACTTTAGTTACTTACTTTGGGATCAGAGCAACCTATGTGATATTGTCTAATTCATAAAATAGTTGTGCATCTTATGTTCCAGTACCTGCTGGAGCAGATGGACATAAGCACCCTGCCGGACGGTGGCACGAAACTGGTGCAACGTCTTACGGAGCTGGAGCGCGAGGTGCGACTCCAGGGGGACAAGGTCGCAAACATGGTCGTCGCGCCAGGTATCTGTTCTACAGATAATACGTACTTTTTAGTGTTTGTACATCTTATAAAATATTCAAAAGTATAAAGCTGCCATTCAAAAAAATTAACTCGAAAATAGAACTGTCGTTCGTGCAAAACTAAAAGTAATGTGAAATTATTTTTGAGATAATTATATGTATGTATGCAAATATAATATGTGTATGCATTTGTCTATATTAATATGTTTCATTTAATATTCATTTAACTTGTATACATATATTGTAAATTGAGGTTTAAAATACTAAATAATATAAACAAAATATTTAAACTAAAATTTATTAACCATTTTAATTCACACAGTCACATCTACATACAAACAATAAAATTGTCCTCTCTTTCGCCCGCGCACTATCCTTATCACACCACATCTGTTAATACGACCGAGCCAGTTACAGACACACACAACCATATACAAGCGCAGCCAGACTAACAGCTACGAATTTAGCAATATAAAGAAAAACTACATAGTTTACGTTACATTGCATTAAAACGTGTTTTGTGTAATTTTTTGTGTGTAAATAAATAAAAAAAAAGTGTGATATGGACTGTTTAAAATAAAAACGTGTTAAAATCAAACTCAAAAACGTGCTGATTAGCTTTCTTATATCTCAAAGGTTGTCTGGACGAGCTCTTAGCGATAAGGCCGCCTTTGCACACATTAGTTTGAAGCTGTCTTTGTACTGTTTTTGTTCCGGTGTGCGAGCAATAAAGTGTATATCTGTCTATCTATCTAACGTGCGAAGTATAAATACGTGATTTTAATAAAAAGTGCCGATGTACCGATCCAACGAACTATTGAGCTAACCACTTCGGTTAATTCCATTGCGTTTTATATACATCTACTACTCCTACTCTGTTAATCCGTCATTTTCATTAGGTTTAGGGACCAGCTCACGCTCAATATGGATAATATTACGAGAAAAATCCAAATCGGTCTTCTTGATGGCAAGAATTGGGACACTTGGATATATAAAGCCAAATGCCTACTACGCACTGTACCGCAAGTGCTAGAGTATAGAGATGCCGCACTAAGCGAGAAAAATTTGATAATGCTGATGCGAGCGCCCTCCTGATCCTCGCAACGAACATGCGCGAAAACACATTAAGAAAGGTTATGCTTTTTAACAAAGCGAGAGATGTTTGGGTGGAAATACACAGGCTTTACGAAGGCACCGACGAAGACATAACATACAATCTATGTATGAGTTTTTTCGGCTGTTAGGCTCAACTCACACTGGCGCAGGGTCGAAGCGTCGCGTCCTGTTTTTCAACTACAAAAAGGCGAAGGCGCGCGTCGACTCACGATTCCGTATTAGCATAACACATATTTGTACCTTAATAATGGGAAATTGGGATGAATATGTCATGGGCGAAAAACATGACGCGTCGCGACACTTAGGGTCGTATTCCAGAACTCTATTCAATGCTCAAGTCTGGATTTGAGTATGGTTTAAAGCACTTGATATCATACTCAAGTCCCTGCCATTAGGGTCGTATTTCCAGTGCTTGTGTTGCCAGTGCAATCCAGACTTGAGCATTGAATAGAGTTCTAGAATACGACCCTTAGACTCTGCGCCAGTGTGAGTTGAGCCTAAGAAGGACTCGGCAGATGTAACGACACATATCGATGCCTTACTATCTCAAACTCGTATCTCAGGAGATGACAAAACTTTCTATTTATTTTAAATTTCTTACCAAAGGTGTTAATTTGGATGCTTTACTTCAAGAATAGATAAAAGCCAGTGTGTGAATATGAAGGAAATGTGTTGTGAAATTAGCCTGCAAAATTTGTATATACAATCCATTTTTTGCATTTCAGTAACATTGTGCTTTAAAATACGAGTTTGAGAAAGCAAGGCGACGATATGTCCAAATTAAAAAATATCTGTACTCAGCTAAACGAAGAATTAAAAAAGGACCAAAATGAGTCACCGGAATTGTTACTTATTATGTAAAATACTGGACACACTCGATGACTCCTTTTTCGCGTTCAGAAACAGTTGGCTCCTACTGCCCGAATCTAACAGAACCGTTGAAAGCCTTACAAGCCATCTTTACGCATTCTAGTAACTCCAGGCGTAAGAAAGATGAGGTTTCGGATATTTCGATCTGAAGACCAGATAACTCGAAGGTCGGTACAGGAATGACGAATGATTGGTAGGAAGAGAAAGAGCATCGAAATTCGAATAGCGAATTTTCAATTTGAAATCAGGAGGCGAAATGTGAGCGGCCAGGTGCGGAAACTTCTAAATAAATAAATAACGCACACACTCAACATAGCCCCGCACTAGGGAAACCCTGTGTCGCGGGTGCCATGGACACACACATAGACAACCACAAATTACACCCAAACTCACGAGAGAAATAATTGTAGGCCATACAAATATTTCTCCCGGCCCGTGAATCGAACCTGGGACCTCTGCGTGGCAGTCCGGCATGGTAACCGTTCGGCCACGGAGGCACTTCTACTGCCATAGTAGATTGCTTATCAAAGCAAGAAGGACTTTATAGGATAATCTATGGAAGAATAGATTGTAGGAGGATAACAAATCTGTCGATCAATGTCAACGTAACAAAATATTAAATATACCGTGTATCTTTCAACCCGGACGCTGGCAGAATTGTCCTCAGTGGGACAGAGGCCAAATACAAAAAAAATCAAAGAAAAGCGAAATAAATGTGTTTATAAAGTTAAATTGATGAAATAGTAAATATTAGCATTGGAAAATCGAATAGCAAAGTTCGGAGATGCTATCAGTACGGTACTGTCCTGTAAATATTTGGTCTGTGCAGATACGCGCTTTTTACCAATACTATGCAGTTTTGCACTATCCCCGACGATATTACAAAATTACATAACTGTACATTTAAATTTTTAACTCGCCATAGATTTTAACCATTAACAAATCTAATGCTAGTCGAGATAAGTCAATAAGTAATATATTCCAGACGAGCCGTCTGCGGAAATGCTGAAGAACGACGGATTCCAGCGCGAGGAGAAAATGCTGTCCTGGGATGACATCCAGAAGGGTAGCAATGCTGTCCAGCCGCGCATGTTCGGGAAACAGGGTAAGTACTGTTGTGCAATGCTCGCTACGTGATTAGGGGTTTATGTCTATCTGCTAAATGATTCCTATATAAAGAGTGTTCTTTTTAAATGGGACGGTATGGGGAAATCGGAAACCATAGAAGAGACAAGGATACTGTCTTAGGAACCGTTAAGTCTTTTTTTGTAAAAATAATGACTATGTTAACAAAAAATTGACTATGTTAACATAGTCAATTTTTTGGTCAAGCGTGAGTTGTACATTTTGTATGAAAAATCATTTTATTAAATGTGACCAATTCCTGCTGTCCCGATTTGTATCGTCACATACAATGAAAAGATCCTTACATAAAACTGAGTCGATCAGCACTAAAAAAAAATCAATTTTGTTTATGGTCAACTCACGCTTGACCAATAAAATTACTATGTCAAAATAGTTTTTGCAAAAAAGACTTCATGATTCCTAATTCCTCTTGTAACTTCTGTAGTTTCGGACTTCCTCACACTGTCCCATTTCAAAAAAACACTGTGTTTATTGAACCCTCTTGACCTCCAAGATGTTCACTTCAAGTAAAAAAAGAAGAATGTGCTTTTGTGGGGCATCTACAATCCGCTTTTTTTTTTTAATTAATTAATTTTTTTTTAAACAGCAATGGCCACCCACATGGCGGAACGCAGCCTGATCCTCGATCGTCTCCGCGATCTTCACGAATCCCTCGCCTCACGGCCCGCCGAGTCCAAACACGCCGAGCAACCGAAGGCTGTTAAGACCAAGCTCATGGTGCATCAGCTGCATGCCCTGGAGTGGCTGCGCTGGAGGGAAACTCAAAGACCCACTGGTGGTATACTCGGTAAGTACATGTTCAAAAAAGAATAATACATTTTAAAAATTTGTAGTGAATTCATATTCAATTATTTTTTGTGAAATTACTCCACTACTTTGTTATAATTATTAATACTAAGATCGAACACTTAGAAAATTTTTTTTATTGATCGCGCTACGGCTAAAAAGTAGTTTAAAACCAAGTACAAAGATCCGACAACAAGCACATAGAAAAATTCGTGTGATCCGGTGGTTCGTTCCGTTGGTCCTTAGTTGGCATAGCGTCTGGCACTATTTGCTAAAAGACGTCGGTTCAAATCCGGCCGGATCGAAGGAAGATTAGTAGCAGGAGAGCTCCTTGTGAAAGAGTTCGTCCAGGGAAGTACTGCCACCTTATCTATTGCTTCCGCCAAACAGTAATGTCAGCATTACTGTGTTCCGGTTTTGAAGGGTAAGGGTGTTGGTGAAATTACGAGCACAAAAACTTATGTCTCAGGGTGTCGGGCGGAGTGGCAGTGCCCCTCAGATCTTTGCCATTTAAAGCTCTGAGGACACTGCAATTGTTATAGACAGGCTTGTAGCTTGCCATCAGGCGCACCACTTGTTCTTCCTGTCACTCGAAATTATTAAAAAAAAAGAAAAATCTAAGTGTTCGATCTTTGTATTTGTTAATAATTAATAAAAAAAAAATATACGAGATTGTGGACATTACATTTTAAATTAAATAGCGTACAGAGAAATACCTAATGATTCGTGCACCGCAGAACTGTCTGTGTGGCCGAACCGTTACCATGCTGGTCTGCCACGCAGAAGTAAAGTTGCCGGCTTATCGGTATTCTACAGTATATATCACGGAGAGTGTGCGATGGAATTGCATGATTTAATTCCGCCTTCCCCTTTCCATCATCGGGGGACTAGACGATGCTGTAATGAGAAGAAAAGAGGCCCGAGGTTTTTATTTGGGGCGTTATAGTCAAGTTAGACTTCATGCAATCATACTGTTTACGTGCAAGTGTGATGAAAAGCACTGTATATTTCACAAGCGGTACGGGAATTACGAACCTCGACTTCGAATACCCTCAGGCTTCGACTTCGGGCTTCTACTAGAGTCTCGTTAGTAATACCCCCTTAGTACACAATGTACTATTTCATTTGGTTCCAGCGGACGACATGGGCCTGGGGAAGACGATAACGATGATCTCGCTGATCGTGAGCGACAAGGGCGCGCACACCGACGACGACAGTGACGACGAAGAACGAGGCAGCTCCAAATGTAAGTTTTGCGGAATCTGTGCGTCAATGGTAGGCCGTTTTGGTACAGTCATTTCCAATCCATTTTGAACAAAAAGTAAACAAACCTGTTTGGTGAAAATTATAAAGCAATAACTCCATAAATCGAATAAGTGGCACTTTCACGTATATTTCGAAGATTTCGACTTGATATATATCATCACTTTTACCAACAATATTCATTTGAATAGCATCGTGAAATCGTATTTGAAAAATGGTAGTCTAAAAGTGAGGTTATTATTCATCTATATTTCTATGACTTGCCTATGGTTGCATAGTGCTGTTCGAAAAAAAACATTCGGTTCAATCACTTAAAGTTTAGTATTCGATTATTAAATCGAACATTTCAGTCGCAATCGAACGAGTATCTAAGTGTAAGGATTTGAAGGAGGATTTAAATTGAAATTTTAAATATGCTTATACACTATACAGGTTATGTAAGGAAAACCGCTAGTATGACTCATTTGAACAAATCGATTCATTCAATTAATTAATCGGTTTGTTTACTTTTTGTTCAAAATGGATTGAAACGAAGTATGGGAGCATCTTAAAGGTGGTTTTCCACCGGCGAGGCGAGACGAGAATTGAAATCTCGCCGAGTCTTCTTTTTGTATCGATTCGACGTCTGTAGTTATTCCAAGACTGGATCATATTTTATTTTTTTCCTACTATTTGATTTATGGCAAAATGTGATATGATAATATTTAATTAGGACAATAAGATCTCTCGTTTGCCATTTTTTTTGAGAGGTATCGTGAAAAAAAATCCAATATCCGCAATATCGCAGATCTGACCAACTAAGATAAATATAGTGTACCTGCCTGTCCCCAATTACATCAGTTTTTAATGTTCTTAAGGGGTTTCCTGAATCTCAAGGTCCAGGACCTAAAAAACATTGTCGTAAGGCAGTCTCCATTTTCTGTCTATGTTCCTGGAAGTTTAGGTAAAAAAAGTCTACCTATCCTGATAATAATAAAACACACACTTATAATATGTAAGTTAATGGGAAACGCATCAAACAAGATAGTTATATTAAAAACTTTTCGGTCTCGTGACAAGTTTGCGTTTGTAACGTGGCAGTGGCCCGTGGCGGCACGCTGGTGGTGTGCCCCGCGTCGCTGATGCAGCAGTGGGCGGGAGAGGTGGCCAAGCACTGCGCGCCGCACGCCGCCTCCGTGTGCCTGCACCACGGCGCGCAGCGGGCCACGCACGCGCACCGCCTGGCCACCTTCGACGTCGTGCTCACCACCTACAACATCCTGCAGCGGGACAACGAGAAGGTACTGCCGCGAAACAAAATACAACGGGAGTGCGTTCAGCCTGGATTACTATCAGAATTGATGTTGCCAAAACTCGCACATTCTTAATTTGAAACACGACAAAATCTTGGCATTGATCGGTCGTAGTTTCAAATTTAAAAAGACAAATTTTTCATTGTTATAGTAATTTAAACTTTACCCTGTTGGTATATCGTTGAAAGTTTAATAACATCAATACCTATTATTACAAGTTGCGTTTTGATATCGTCGGTTAAAAGGTAAAACTCATTAAGTGACATTTTGTTCA